CTGCAACTGACACTGACAAGGACATTTGACTATATTTTATGCCTTATTTTAATGTAGTTTTATTTTTAATAATAATTAAATAAAATCCATTAAGTATTGTATTTTAATTACATTCTTAGTGGTGAACTTTTAAGATAAACAAATACTTAACAAACACTTATTCATAATTGACAGCTACTTAAAAGATGACCAATGAAGGTTGAATTTATAATGAGTGAAAAAGTCAGCGTGGCCCTACTATAGATTAGTGTGTGTTACATTAGTGAGTGTATTACCTAACCATTACTGATTGTGTGTATGTACTCATGATTGCTGTACTACAATGGATTCTGTTATGATAGTGGAAAGGTTTTATCAAAACAATAGATGGTTAGGAATCTCATTAGCTGCTAATACATGAAATAGAATTATTTATTGGCCAGCAAGCATGAGCGTACCTCACATAAGTGAAACATGTGTTTGGTACATGTACATGTACATGTATGTGTTAATACCTTGTATTCTTCTCTTCTGATATTCATTAATGTCCAGTACTGACTGTACTACCAAATCACATAGTACTAGATACTAATAATAATAATAATAATAATAATAATAATAATAATAATAATAATAATAATAATAATAATAATGATAATAATATAATGCTAAGAGTAGGTGTGGCTAAAAGTTGCCCCACCCACAAACACACTTTCAAAATTCAAATCTTGGTATAATTCACACTTTTAATGCTATACAGTAAATTAATTTTAGTAGGCGTGTACAATCGTACATAAAGCCACACCCCTCACTCATTCTTTATTGTAATATTATTATTATTACATATTCAATACACATTGTATCTACTAATGTATACGTGTACTCACTGATTTCAATAAATCTTGTATCACTGATTCTTGAACCATTATCTCTCTCTCCTCCAAACTCAATTATCCAGTGAGTGGTCTGTGTCTCATTCCAAACTGAGAGAGAATGATAATGTCTATCAGTGACACTGTCTGGTATATTAGTCTATATAATTAAAAATATTGATAAAATAATAAATCTGGTTAATAAAAATGATTTCTCTCTCTTCCTCCTTTCTCCTCCATTGTCAATCACACTCACAAAAATGACAACAAAGACAAGCTTCATGAGCTCTTTCTTAAAAACTACTCATAGCATAATCTTTCATTTCTTTATCATATGCACATGTCTATACTGACCAGTTGTACTGTATTAAATTGATTATCATTGAGGAGTGACGTACATGTACAGACAGACAGATACTAGTACTAGTAGGACTCACTCATGCTCACCACAATTATATTATAATACTTACCAGTTCTTTCCATTCCATTTTGTTTATATTTAACAACCAACAGTCTTTGGTACTCCCACTCACCACTAGTAGGTGTGGTCCTGAGCTACAGTTGATCAATACACTGGAATGAGCACTTCTCTCCTTAGGCCATTGTACTGATCCTCCAGGATTAGGAAACTTTGTACATTTCTAAAATTATTAAAAAATATTTAATTATCATAAAACACACACAATACATTAACTAATACTTTAGGATAAATACCGTAGGACTATATACATGTATTCGCATGCAGTAATAATTAAAAACCATGGAAACTGAAATGCTATTTTAATTGAAAACGGTGCAACATTGAAACAGTTATTTTTAAGAGATCAAAAATTAAGACCTTTTCACCGAAAACACGAAATTCTGTACCCTCAAAATTTGCAACCTGTATGGTATCCATTTAAGAGCATACATGTAACTCTAGCCCACTACTAAGGCCCTCCCTCATTGTTTACACAAGTACATGTAGCTATTATTAGTGGCTGGTTAAATTAGGGTTTTTAAGTACACCTGCAAGTTACAAGTAATACACACCCTAAGCCTAAGGTAATTCATATAATTATACTAATAATACACTCACCACTGATGTATCAGTAAATTCAAATACATATACATCATTACTCTTTCTATGACCATCATAACCACCAAACAATATAGCAGTGGTATTAGTTATTGATG